AGTTCTGACTGTTCTACAGAAGTTCTGACTGTTCTTCACAAGTTCTGGCTGTTCTTCAGAAGTTCTGACCATTCTACAGTTCTGACTTCTTCAGAAGTTCTGACTGTTCTACAGTTCTGACTTCTTCAGAAGTTCTGACTGTTCTTCACAAGTTCTGACTGTTCTTCAGAAGTTCTGACTACTTCAGAAGTTCTGACTGTTATTCAGATGTTCTGACTGTTCTTCAGATGTTCTGACTATTCTACAGAAGTTCTGACTGTTCTTCAGAAGTTCTGACTGTTCTGCAGAAGTTCTGACTGTTCTTCTGAAGTTCTGACTGTTCTGCAGAAGTTCTGACTGTTCTACAGAAGTTCTGACTTCTTCAGAAATTCTGACTGTTCTGCAGAAGTTCTGACAGTTCTATAGAAATTCTGATTGTTCCACAGAAGTTTTGACTTCTTCAGAAGTTCTGATTGTTACAGAGGTTCTGAATGTTCTGCAGAAGTTCTGATTATTTTAAAGAGGTTCTGACTGTTCTTCAGGGGTTCTGACTGTTCTGCAGAAGTTCTGGCTGTTTTACAGAAGTTCTGACCGTTCTACAGTTCTGACTTCTTCAGAAGTTCTGACTGTTCTGCAGAAGTTCTGACAGTTCTATAGAAATTCTGATTGTACTACAGAAGTTTTTACTTCTTCAGAATTTCTGATTGTTACAGAGGTTCTGAATGTTCTGCAGAAGTTCTGATTATTTTTAAGAGGTTCTGACTGTTCTTCAGAAGTTCTTCAGGGGTTCTGTTTTTTCTACAGAGGTTTTGACTGTTATTCAGAGGTTGTGAATGTTCTACAGAAGTTATGACTGTTCTTCAGGAATTCTGAATTTCTGCAGAGGTTCTGGCATTTCTACAGAAGTTCTGATTGTTTTTTTGGATGATCTGACTGTTCTACAGAGGTTCTGACTCCTACAGAAATTCTAACTGTTCTACGGAGGTTTTGACTGTTCTTCAGACATTCTCACTTTTCTACAGAGGTTCTGACTGTTCTTCAGGGATTCTGACAGATCTGCAGAGGTTCTGACTGTTCTTCAGATATTCTGACTGTTCTAAAAAAGTTCTGACTTTTATGGAGATTCTCACTGTTTATCATAAGTTCTGACTGTTCTAGAAAAGTTCTGACTATTCTTCAAGGGTTCTGTTCTACAGAGGTTCTGACTGCTACAGAAGTTCTGGCTGTTCTGCAGAAGTTCTTGTTCTATGGAGGTTCTGACTGTGCTACAGAAGTTCTGACTGTTCTGCAGACATTCTGTCTGTTCTTCAGATATTCTGACTGTTCTACAGAAGTTCTGACTTTTATGGAGGTTCTGACTGCTCTACAGACGTTCTGACTGTTCTTCAGGGGTTCTGGCTTTTCTACAGAGGATTTGATTTCTACAGAAATTCTGACTGTTTTTTGGTCGATCTGACAGATCTACAGAGGTTCTGATTGTTCTACAGAAGTTCTGACTATTCTTCAAGCATTCTGTTGTATAGAGGTTCTGACTGTTCTACAGAAGATTTGACTTCTACTGAAGTTTTGACTGTTGTATAGAGGTTCTGACTGTCTAAAGAAGTTCTGGTTGTTTTTCAGATGTTCTGACTGTTCTACAGATGTTATGTCTGTTCCGCAGAAGTTTTGACAGTTCTTCAGAAGTTCTGACTGTTTTATGGAGGTTCTGACACTTCTACAGAGGTTCTGACTGTTCTAAAGAAGTTCTGGCTGTTTTTCAGATGTTCTGACTGTTCTACAGACGTTCTGATTGTTCTACAGATGTTCTGACCTCCTCAGAGTTTCTGGCTGTTCTACTGAGGGAATAAATCCATTTGCAGCAGAGACTGGTGGACCTGCAGGTCCAGGATGTCGCGCCACATGTTTTAGTCTGCTTTGATGTTCCACACGTTAGTTTGGTTAGTACGACCTAAAACTTCAGAACCAGCTGTGACCCAGTTCCGAATGTGGACCTCCTTAAAAGCCCGTTTCCCTCTGAAAATTGAAAACCTAAAAATAAAAACATCCAAACTCTAAATAAACTTTTTCTAACATTCAAACTTTTACAAGTCCAGCTTTTCTTCTGGATAATGATGGACGTTACATTTGACCTTTACAGAATGATGCTGCTTCTCTGAGGTCATTGCTGATGTCTTTCCACCCTGGCACTGCGTTAACACTCCTGGATGTGTTTGTGGAGACGGTCCACTCTGGAGGATCAGCTGCTCCTGGACCTCTGAAACCCGTTTCTGTGTTTTGGGTTCAGGTCAGTGTTCAGTTCCGCTCAGGTCGGGTTCATCCTGATTTATAACCCGACCACCGCTTCCTGTCCTTTAATGTCCAAATGACTGAGAGTTAGGATTTTGGAACCAAAACTTGAAGCAGACAGAACCGGCCAGCAGCCCCAGGTCGTGGACGGGTCGTGAGCAGAGCTCGTCTTCTCCGTCTGCGGTCCTGAAGTCCCCCTGAGAGGAGGTCGTCCTCCGAGGGACACGGAGATGTCCTTCATGAGTTCCTGCTGTCGGGTCAGTCTGCAGGAAGATGAGACATTTTAACCCGGTTCACATTTCAGAACCCGACTTCATGTGGTCTTCCAGCCGGGAGAGTTCCCTCTGAGTCCTACACACGACAAAAATACTCACGCAGCAAATTAAAGAAATGTAATAAAATATTTCATCTGTGCTCCTTCATCCATTCATCATCAACAATCCAGCCATCATCCAGCCATTCATTATCCATCATCCATTCATCATCAACAATCCAGCCATCATCCA